ATGACTCATGATCACGTCAACTTTAACACTCTGTACAGTAGCTCACACCTCACACATCTCCCAGTCTGAGTGATAGGAACAAGACTAAAGATTCACTTGTTAATTAGATGACGTACTTTAATATATAAGCTTTGTACTTGGCAACACGCTCGTAAAGCTTCAGTGTGCCTTGAAGGGCAGTTAGTCTCAGACTTACAGCATTTCCAGTCATTTTTAGGTTTTAAAAGTGCACTCATATAACATTTTTGATGGAAAGTCCAACACTCGCTTGTCTAATTTGGAGATGTTATTGCTTTGTATGATCAGTGTTGGGGAGTAACAGATTACATGTACCAGAGTTACGTAATCAGAGTACAAATTATGAGTAACTGTATTCAGTTACAGTTACTGTTTCAATGAGTGGTAATTGGATTACAGTTACTTTGTTGAAATAAATGGATTTTGAAATGTATTTTCCTGTTTTCACATTTTGGGCTATATCCCCCTTCTTTTTTTTTTTCCGGGAATTACACTCATTGCCGGGAAACTAAACCAGGTCTAAACTAGATCTAAATAGATCTAAACCAGGACTAAACCATGCTGTGTGGACGTGTCTCTTCCTCTTCTATTAATAATATTTTTAATACAGTTAAGTAAAGTCTGGGCTTTTCTTTTTCTTTTAGCAGACAAAACATCTTGTGTGAAGATTTCCTCGTCTTTGCGTCTCTACAGCAAATCAAGTAATCCAAAGTATTCAGATTACGTTACTCACTTTAAGTAACTTAATGGATTATGTTACAAACTACATTTTGGTGTGTGTAATCTGTAATCTGTAGGGGAATACATTTTTAAAGTCACCTTCCCAACACTGTGTATGGCTTTAAACTTAATTGTTCCAAATGTATTCAGTTTATTCATTTATTGCTAGGGATGTAACGATATCCAAATCTGTCGGTGCGATATTATCACGATATGCATCTCACAGAATGTTATTTATTGCAATACTTTGGAGAGGCTGATAGAACTGTAGATGGAACACTTTTTTGTTTTTAACAGAGGTGGGACTAAGTCGTTGTTTTGTAAGTCTCAAGTAAGTCTCAAGACTTTAACCTCAAGTCTGAGTCAAGTCCCAAGTCAAAGACAAGAAATTCAAAGTCGAGTCCTGAGTCACTGGCCCATAAGTCCAAGTCAAGTCCAAGTCGTCTGCTTTGAGCTTCAAGTCATTTCAAGTCTTTGTATGAATTGTAAGCTAAATGGCCCTTAATACTGTTGCACATTTTTCCTTTTTAAATGTCAAGATCTTAGTGTGAATCATTACGGTCAAAACAGAAAGAATTCAGATTTAAAAGAGCTTAATAACAGTTATTTTGTGGTGTAGTCTGCACTGAAATGGAAGGATCATGTTCTATGTACGTAGTTCCCTCTGTTTTACTGTATTGTACTGTATAATACTGTAGTACATTTGAGGATACCATATTACAGTACTTCAGTTACATCCAAAGTAAGAAATAGAAAAGTGAGTCATGTTCTTGTTCCTGTAAAATTCAGCACCACATTTATAAACTGTAACGAGAAAAGTATTTTCTAAAAACATATATTTTTTAGAAGAAGCAACAAGTCTTCTCAAGTCACAGGGCTAAAGTCCCAAGTCAAGTCCCAAGTCAATGACCTTCAAGTCCAAGTCGAGTCCCAAGTCTCAGTCAGTTTTATCAAGTCAAATTTCATGTCCTAAAAATAGTGACTCAAGTCTGACTCGAGTCCAAGTCACGCCTTGCAAGTCCCTACCTCTGGTTTGTAAAACAAGATTTCGGTGTCAGTTATTTCTGTCATAATCCCAAGAATTCAAGTAAAAAACAGATTTCTTCATGTTGTCTGCACTTAAATGAATCATGGGATGTGTAGTGTTTATAAGCTGTTCCTACTATAAAACCGTGCATTTAAACAAAGGGACTTGTGATTCGATATATTGTGACAGCCCACGATATTACTCTGAGACTTTTGACGATGCGATAGCACGATATTTCAGTTATTGTTACATCCGTATTCATTGCTAATAAATACTTGCTAAAAATGTGCAGTGGGATCATCTTCCCACAGAACTGACTTGTAGCTTGTGTTGCACCTTTGAAATGAACGACAAGACTTGCGTTCATTTTAGCTTTAGGCAACTTTTTTCTGCCTCTTTTCAACAACAACAAAACAATGCACTCTCCCCATACACCCTTGAGTCTCACATTCTTAAAGTAACAGTAAAGTAAAGATCCTGTTATTACATAGATACAATGGAATGATAAAATAAAAACTACTATCAATCAAGTATTTATATCAAATGAAAATGTGTTTTTTTCACCTACCATATTTTACAGATGATTAGGCTTTTTTCACAAATAAACCACACCAGACTTTAAATGAAACACAACAGTTGGATGGGTCAGTGGGACTTTGTTTGACCGGTTCACTGTGACTCTGGGCTTTGTTCAGTTGTGGCGTGTAGGGAGGGTGCTGTCTGGGACCAACGGATTGTCGGCGTGTTCGCAGTGACTCAGTTGTTCAGTTGTGTGTAGAAGTGGCACATTGGACTCGCTTTTTCGGTTCCGTTCCTCGTCCACGTGGAGTGATGAGTGTGGCTGCGGGTGTTTTTCGCTGCACGGTCGCTGTCTGCTCTGTGTGTGTTTGCGTGCGCTGCTGGTGGTGCGGCTTTGTAGTTTACTGAAGTCGTGTTGGGACACCCGAGTGGATTCATGTATGGGGCGCTCTGGATTGCAGGGTGCGCAGTCGTTTTTTGATGGAGTTAGAGGCTTAAGAGTGCGTCTAATACCCCGGAAAATACGATAGTTAAATTAAATATGAATTTAGTGTTATGAATTTTAACAAAAATATTGCATTTTAATTTTCAGGGGACTACACTTGGTCTGATGCTTTCACTGATTTTGAGAACATTTCTGTAGAGAAAAAGTGAGATAGTGAGCCATTAATCAGCTATATATATATATATATATATATATATATATATATATATATATATATATATATATATATATATATATATACACATATATATATATATACATATATATATATATATATATATATACATATATATATATATATATATATATATATATATATATATATATATGTTTTTTTTATATGTTAATAAATAATGTACTTTTTTTTTTTTACTTTTGGGTCCGGTCAAGTGGTAACGGAGGGAAACGGGCAGATTTTTTGACATTCAAATGTCTCTTATTCAGAAACTAGAGGCACTATTGAAATAAGTAAAGTATCAGAATGTAGGAAAGAGTTACACTCCAACAGGGTCAAGTTAAACCTGTGATATTCTTCTCTCCGGTAACGGAGGGAATGAAATATGCAGCACTTTTTGGGCAATAAATCCAAACAGTGATAACTCTTGGTTCTCACTTACATATCCTTAACAAACTGGTTTGAATATTTGCTTCATATAGTTTTCTACCATATGGTACAAGATTAGGTTGAAAAACCTCTTACTTTTTGAGTCATGAGATTTTTTATTAAGAAAGGTCATGGTAACGGAGGGAAAAGTAACGGAGGGAAAATTGTGCAAACAAGTAGAAGGTGCAGGATTTTGCATCATTTGTCGCTTTTTTCTTCTGAATATTTTAATATTACTTCAAAATGAAAGGAAACTATTTCTATAAAATATGTCAGTCCTTCCAAGCAAATTTTTATAATTTTATATACATTTTTTGGGGAAAAATCATGTACCTTCATCAACAGTTCAAAGATGGAATAACACAAGATATGATGAAATACATCCATTTATTTACATGATTTGCAGGTCTTTGAAATTTGGGAAATAATTTTTGTTCCATGTTTCATACATGGAACAAAAATTGTAACTGTAACTTTAGAACCAAAAATGGTACAGAAAAAAGGTCAACAGTTTCTTAAACTAGAGTACATATGTATCTGCTGAATACATTTTTATATTAGATACATTAACTTGAATTTTTGGCCTTGTTTACTTCTGCTCGACCGAGCCCTTTTGTTTAGGCTTTCTATTATGATTGTATACTGACTGAACGATTGAGATTGAATCAGAAATCTATGCATGTACACTGTGTTTTATTTGTAATAGTGTCATTACGTTTTATGTTTACTTAAAATGAAAATGATCAAATCAGAGAATACACTCAGTATGCACTAATTATATGTTTATGAGTCAGCTTTTAATTGTATTTCATATAAAAATGATGTTACATTTCTAATTAACAGGCATTCAAGCCCCAGGAAGCTGACAACTGTGCAATGCCCAAAACATGCTACATAGGTCTCCATAAACAGTTGATAGTCATGGTCAGTTAAATACAATCAATTCAATCATTGTGTCCTTAGGCAAGACACTTCACCCACATTGCCTAGTATGAAAGTGGTGTGTGTGTGAGTGCTGGTGGTGGTCGGAGGGACCGATGGCGCCGAGTGGCATGGCAGCTGCGCCTCTGTCAGTGAGCCCCAGGGCAGCTGTGGCTACAATAGTAGCTTACCATCATCAGGGTTTAGAGTGAATGAATAATGCTGTATGAATGAATGCTGAATGAATAGTGCTGAATAATGCTGTGTAAAGCGTCTTTGGGGACAGAAAATGTCTGTGAAAGCGCTATATAAATAAAGACTTACTTACTTACTTACTTACTTACAATGCAACAACAACAACAACAACAACAACAACAACTACTACTACTACTACTACTACTACTACTACTACTACTACTACTACTACTACTACTACTACTACTACTACTACTACTACTACTACTACTACTACTACTACTACTACTACTACTACTACTACTACTACTACTACTACTACTACTACTACTACTACTACTACTACTACTACTACTACTAGTACTACAATTACATTCACAACTATTGTGACAACTTTTTCTTTTGCTGACATAATGTATTCTGCTTTTGATGATAAGAAGCATTTATGTATGGTTTAACTCACCCGTCTTCTGTCTTTTTGTTTCTCTCAGGAGGTCTCCGGCCGCCACCACCCAGCCCCCCATCACCAGAGTCTGCCTCCCAGGTAAGACCCCCTCCCCCTCCCCCTTCCCCCGCTATACGTGTCCGACTTATGGACCGCTACGTGACAATATAGACTTCCTTACCCCCTTTCTCTCCGCTTAAATGAGTGTACGTGCTGATTTCCACTGTTTTCCTCCGGCCTCCCCGCACACGCCTGCTCTGGGTCCAGACCGGGCTGTCATTGAGATCGTTAGGCCCGCTCACACACAATTGGAAGAATAGTCGGGAGGTTTAGACTGGCTGTAAATGCGTTGTGTTGAGGCAAAGATAACAGACCGGCTTTTTCCGCCATATTTCATCACTTGAGAGATGAAGGAGCTGGTGCAGGAGGTGTGCGGTCAGCAGGGGGCAGTGTTTGCAGATGAGACAGAAGAAGATTGCAGTTTGTTGATGTATATGGTGAGATACTCTAAGTCTGTATTGGTGTTTTGAGGGCAGTGCTTGTTTTGTATGGGTTGAATTTTGTAGTAAACAAGAGTCTCGTTGCATTTTTATATGGATTATATGTGTATTTGGTGAAATGTTGTTAAGATTGTCAAAGTTTACAAGGGAGATAAGTCCAGTTTTAAGTTTATTTGTTTGCATAAATGTCTCTAAACTCAAATTAAAGAGGGAATATTATGCAGAATCGACTTTTTGGAGCTTTCCACCATGTTCCTTCTTCAAAAACATACCTGAAGAAGTTTTAGGTGTCATCCATGCATGTTTGAGTAATTTAGCGATCTCTCCTGGACTCTATTCAAACCCTTCTTACACTTCTTAGTAAAAGTTTTGAGCAAATGTTGCGTTTTCAGAACAATAAAAGGTAACATGGTGATCTAAATATGTCGTGTTAGCAATTAATAATACAAAAGAAACAGAAACCACACACCAAAATTCTTGTAGAGGTGCAAATGCAAGAAGCAGTAAAATAAAAGTGAAAAAATGCAGAGCACATTCAGATGGCCAAAAAAAAAAAGCCTTCTTCAGATATTTTTGTTGCTTTGGACCACAGTACATAAAGGCTTTTTTTTTTTTTTTTTTTAAATTTGCGAAATGTTATTAAAAAAAAAAAAAAAAAAAAAAAAAAAAGCCTATGGACATCGGCCATCTGAGTCTGCATTTTTTCCCTTTTAGCAATTAATAATACCCCGTAGAAGTGTAGTAGCCCTCTTTAACAAATATCTCTAATTATGCATTTATGTATTTGTAAATGCCTTTCATATTTTAACTTTTTGACTGATGAGTATAAAGCATCGCAGCATTAGATTTAGAGATTTTAATTTATTGTCATTGTACAAAATACAATGAAACTTTTAGCAGTAAAAATGAATAAATTAAACACATTCTCATATCCAAACCAATAAAAAAGAAAAGTAAGCATGTGTGAGTGAGGGTTCTCAGTCATTTAAATTGAAAATAAAATGGTTTAAAAAATTATTTATGAAGCAAAATCAAATTAACTGAGGAGTGAAAATTGTACATTTCCACAGTTAATGTTCTCTTTATATGTGTAGCACTTTGAAAACGGTTTTGTTTTTAAAATGTGCTATATAAATAAAGTCGATTTGGATTTGGACAGTATACATAATTCCATGATTAAATCCATTTCGAAGTCCACTTATAATCGAAAATGTGGTGGTTTTATAGCTCAAAACTACCTAGAAAAACTTGTATTCTGACTGTGAGAGGGGTTACTTCTCCACAGATCTGACCTGTAACTTGGTCTGGTTTGGCCTCCATGAAAATAGAAAGGTTTAATGCTGTGAAACATTCGAAGCAATAATATTTCCATGGAGAAAAACATTTGACGGACCCTCCATCAGAAAAGTTACACAACACACCTTTAAGAATTCACTGTGGACCTTTGCCTAAAATGCTCCAACAAACCTCTCCATCTTGCATTTATTTGAATTATTTTAAACCCATGTACTTGTAGGTCCACTTAAAAATGTGGTCTTAACTTCTCTGAACTGTTTGTGACTCAAATGTTCCTCAACTAAAAAATATCTCGATAACCCTTGAATAATGTTCGTACTGTGAGTGGGCTGGCCTCTTCACATACTTGACCTTTAACTTGACCGAGTGGCATCACTTGCTTGTCTCCACAGAGGTAACCGTAAATGACCAAAAATGACACAATTTTGTTTAGTTGGAAGATGCTATTCGACATTTTCAGTAAAGCTGTGACCCCATTCATTATTGTGTGTTGTGGTGTGGTCCAGTAGTAGTACACACGCACAAACACGCTGGGGTTTCATGCTCTTTAGAAACATTACATTGACTTACTTTCATTTCCTGAGATGTAAATCTGCCTATAACTTATTTGAACCCATATCTGAACTTTAAATTATGATGCAAAAAATACAAAATGGACTCTTGTGAGATTTAAGCCATGTTATAATTTTGTTACTTCCTCAAAAACATCCCTGGAGTTGGCTTTTGTTTCATTCACAGATGTTTGAGTCTGTCTACATCTCCAAAGCTTAAAATGCTCAGTTCCACCTTATAATGTCATTCAGTGGCAGTTTTCAAGCAACATTATAACACAGATTAGAAAAAGTGTAATTTACAGTGGCGGAGTTAGCAGTTTGGGGGTCATAGGTGAACTTGAGTATGGGGCCCTCACTATAATGCACAGGGTTTTTTTTTTTTTTGTATTATTATTATTTTTATTTTTTAAAATTTTGTTTATTTTTTGGGTATTTTTTGGCATATACATTGTCTGTTTTTTTGTGTGTTTTTTTTTCACCCCATCTTTATCCGAGTCTGATGTGTCTTATTAGTTCATTCGCCTACTAGATAACCAGAGCTGAAAGTAGTTTTATTTTATTCTTTTTTTTTGCTAGTACAATAAAATTTTAGTTTATATCCATCACATTCGATTATGATTATGCTACGATTATGTTCAAATCAGGGTGAAGCTGACTAGTCCATTCTAACGCGATTCTTGAGTTGACAATCAGATAATATTTTGATGGTGTTTTCTTATTTAAAAAGTAAACCACTCTCATTTAATGTCATACTGAGAGAAAATCAAATCCTCTGAGGCCTTGGCCATTAGCTGCACTGAGGACAGTTGGCTGGGGCCCCTCCAGGTTCAAGGGCCCCAATCGGCCGTCTCCTGTTGCCTAATGGTATCACCGCCTCTGTACGGGCCCTTTAAACCTTGTTGTTGATCTTATAACAAGTCAGAACCGCACGCTTTGACAAAACTTTACAAAAAAACGAATAGATCTGGAACCATATTCTGTCTCCTTGATTTCAGTGGGCGTGATTGACAGGCGGATTAACCAATCCGAGAGGCGCATGGCCGTTTGCGTCAAACAAACCTGGTGATTTACATAGCGATAAAGAAAAAAAAAAACAGGGGATGGAGAAACAGCATGAATTTCCAGAATCAACTATCGAAGCACCAAACTTGCATTTATCTCAGGTAAATATTCTACATAAATATTGTTCTGAATGATACGAGAATTTTCTTCTGTATTTGAGGGACACGTGTTACAAATGAGCTTCTGTGGTTAGGACAGAGATGCTAGATGCTTCTGGAACTGAAGATAACATAGTAGGGACTGGGTGATCAGGCAGATAACTCCACGCACACACACGTACACATACATGCACACACACACACGCATGCACACACACAGAGGCAGATGACACAGAGTGAAACTGGGCCTGAACCTCAGTAACCTCCTTTTATCTGCTCGGAGCTCTAAAGAGTAAAACAACATCTGAGCGCTTCACTGTGACAATGTGTGAGTCAGAGCCAAACCACAGACCTTTTCGAAAACTACTCAACCCTAAACAAGGCTGCTCTGGTGCTCGTTTTCTCAGAACCGTCTCACAAACAAGTCCTCGTGCAGCTTTCTTTAGGGCACAGGTTGAAGTGCATTGAACAGTTTTGGATAGTTGCACAGAAACGTATGTCTACTCTTTAAGATGGAGACGTTATTGCTTCGTCGAGAATGTTCCACAGTGTAGATTAAACTGGGAGACGAGCAGGTTACAGCACTACGCTACATTACAGTTCAGATCTGTGGAGAGTCACCCCTATTCACAGAAGGCTCAATGTATTTTTGAGCAATAGAAACACCCATAATGAATAAACTCTAGACTAATAATATGTTTAAAGTTATATTTTTATTTTTATACCGCATTTAAAGGATTGATTCAGAGTAATTTTAACCGAGGATCCTTTGCACTATAACCTCTACATTTCATTTGTAGTCAACTGCTCTTGGATAATCCAGGGGTCTCCAACGTTATTCCTCCAGTGAGCTACTTTTACAAAACAAAACTGCCAGAGAGCTACCTGTTTTAATAGTCATAAAAGAAACTGACCCTAACCCTATAGGCGAGTTTCATTGTTGACAAAAGTGCACGTTGCATGCTGGGAAATATTTTGGTCGGCGGCAAGAAACACTAATTCAGTAAGGTGGACAGAGTGAGAAAGCACGTAAAGGGAATCTGTCCACTCTAACGGCATAACTTAAGTATCGATGGACGCCAAATCACCCTTTTCAACCCCTACAAAGCATGGACAAAAGCAAATTTCTGGTTTGAATCGCCAACTACCAGGCCGAGCATCCACTTACAGATATTTACAATTACTTGGTGGAAAGTCCTGGGCAATTCACAGCAGAAAAGATGAAAGCAAACGAGAGTCTTGATGCGTTCAAATACTTCATCTCTAGAAAAATTGGTGAAGTGTAAGAGCCTCTGTGAGCCTTAGATGCAGAACAGTTAGAAGCTTATAAAACATAAACCATTATCCATTTATCGGTGCACCATATTAGTCATCAACAACTAGCATTTACATTTACACAATACATAGAATTCAAAAATCACTTAGTGAGCTACGTAGAAGTAGGTGGAGGGCTACTGGTAGCTCCCGAGCTACAGGTTGGAGACCCCTGGGATAATCGGTTGGGTGTAATTGCCTGACTGCATTTTTCACTTTTATTTTACTGTTCCTTGCATTTGCATCTCTACAAGAACCTTGGTGTGTGTTTCCTG